GTCGGGACCCATGGCTTTGGAGGGTTTCGCTTTCCCGATGGCTACATGAACTTCACCGCGAGTGAAAGCAAGGGGCGCACAAGTTGTTGGCAGTTTTTGCAGCCTTCTGAACACTCGACGCTTGGCTTTGTCCACCGGAGGATGCAGTATGAGCTGCCGGCTAAAATAGCTCGCTCATCGCTCCGGGGCCGACGAAGCATGGTTGCCGAAAGAAATTTCGACCCTGTCGTCATGCTTCGTCGGATTGGACAGTGACTTCACGGTTGACCAAAGCTTACTCACACCAGAGGTGAAGTTGCAGGTCTTCAGATGCTCTTCCCACTTCTTCCGCTTATGTACGTTCACTAGTTGCCGAATCTCCGCGTTGAAATCCCTGATACGGGGATCTCCGGGATCGGCCTGACGAGGGCTGTCATGCTCATCGGCTGTAACAGCCGCTTCAGCAAGGAAATTTGGACGTGGATCCGCTATGCATCCTGCCGGTAAGAAGCGAGCTGCAGCAGCAGTGACAGCCCTGCGGAACTTACGTTCACCAAGGTGGACGTCGGTTGGTGTGGGGAGCGCAGCGAAGGTGTTTTCAGTAAATTCCGCGAAGCCTTTCCAATCAGCTTAAAAAAGTTGATATAGGTCGGGTGTTTCGCGGAAGCAAAGTCAGATGGGCAGATGGTCTGATGCCAAACTCAGTATAGGTCGCCCTGCTACGCTGTTTATCAGACCAGCGCTGACTATATTTATGTCTGGCGAGCTGCAGCACCTGCCAAAATCCTGGTGGGTGCGTCGTCGTTCATTAGCCAGAATGTCGAATCGTCTGTTCGGGTTTGCGACCGGGCAGCGCAACACGGACCCTCGAAGTTTTTCGTCCAATCTCGCGTGGTGCGCAGACCTGATCATGCCCTAAAGTGGCACCAGCCAAGGCAGGTGTTGCACTTGACTGATGTCACATTACGGAATATCTTGGTCTATGGCACACTCGACGCTTGGCTTTGTCCACCAGAGGATGCAGTATGAGCTGCCGGCTAAAATAGCTCGCGCATCGTCCGGGTCCGACGAAGCATGGTTGCCGAAAGAAATTTCGACCCTGTCGTCATGCTTCGTCGGATTGGACAGTGACTTCACGGTTGACCAAAGCTTACTCACACCAGAGGTGAAGTTGCAGGTCTTCAGATACTCTTCCCACTTCTTCCGCTTATGTACGTTCACTAGTTGCCGAATCTCCGCGTTGAAATCCCTGATACGGGGATCTCCGGGATCGGCCTGACGAAGGCTGTCATACTCATCGGCTAGAACAGCCGCTTCAGCAAGGAAATTTGGACGTGGATCCGCTATGCATCCTGCCGGTAAGAATCGAGCTGCAGCGGCAGTGACAGCCCTGCGGAACTTACGTTCACCAAGGTGGACGTCGGTTGGTGTGGGGAGCGCAGCGAAGGTGTTTTCAGTAAATTCCGCGAAGCCTTTCCAATCAGCTTTAAAAAAGTTGATATAGGTCCGGTGTTTCGCGGAAGCAAAGTCAGATGGGCAGATGGTCTGATGCCAAACTCAGCACAGGTTGTTGTTGTTGTTGTAGCGGCTACAACAACCCCGCCCAGGACGGTTGGTATCGCAGTCGTTGTCGTCAAGTTCCACTAACGGCAACCCTAGGAAGCGTGCAGCTTCTGTAGGGTTTGTCCACAGGGACAAGGCCGTTAGGGTTGTCGGGTTTTCCGGGCATGCGAAGAGATGTTTCGAGTCATGTGGGGTCTCTCCGCATGCCGAACACTCATTCGGCACATCCTCATTCAACCTACTCAGGTAGGAGTTCAACCTGCTGCAGTAGCCGGAGCGAAGTTGTGCAAGTGTTGTGCGAGTCTCCCGAGGCAGATGAAGCTCCGTCTCGTCTATGTCCGGGGGTGGTATGCCTAGAATGCCGTTCAGGGCCTGTCTGTAAGCTGTCGGGTCCAGAGGTTGTTTGATGAACCTCTGGACTTCATCTGTTAGTTCATATAGATGCCTCCTGACGTGCCTAGGCGAGGGCTCCTNACCGTCGGAATTGGTGTGTCATCGACGTGAATCCCCAGCGGTAGCCTGACCTCCTTCGTCCAGGTTGTGAACAGGGTCGCGGAGTATTTCGTAGGGGAGAGGGCTAGACACTTTGCAGTGAAGAAGCGAGAAAGTTCGGAGAGATACCCGTTTACTTTCGAACACAGGTCATCAATTCCATTCGCAGTCGCCATGATCGAGCAATCGTCGGCATAAGACAATCGAGACTCCCTCTGGTGGTTGAGTGAGCTTTGAAATGTAAAAGTTAAACAGTAGCGGGGAAATGACACCACCCTGAGGAACCCCCTGTTTTATTTTTCGCTGCTCAAACCGGGGAAACCAGCCAACAAAGGAGATTCTTATCGACCGATAACACTCCTTTCCCCGGTAGCGAAGACACTAGAGCCGTTGCTGCTCCCGTATTTCACAAACCACCTGAAAGTGCACAGTACAACAGCAGCACTTAAAACCATAAACACTCAAGATAACACGTGGCCTTAATAGGGCATTCGCACGAGGCGATTTCTCAGGCAACTTTTGCATTTAACTCACGCAGGGTTGCACGAAAAAAAATTGAATGGCTAAAAATATCAAAATATAAAAAAATATCACAAAAATATCACATTTGGTTGAACGGCCTCTCAACTAATCGCTTTCAACAAAGTTGGTCGCCAGCCAACATTTAGCTATTCAACTTTTCTTTCGTGCAACCCTGCATGAGTTGAAAGCAAAAGTTGAACGCAAAATCGCCTCGTGCGAACACCTTTTAACCGCAACCGTCCCTGTGAGAGAACTATTCTAGTAGCGCTGGACCTGTCAAAGGCGTTTGAAACCGTCAGCCACTCCACGCAACTAGAAGATACAGAGGCTTCCTCTCTCCCACAGAGGCTCAAACGGTTGTCGGCGAATTATCTGAGCGGTCGATACTCGTCGGTAATGTTGACACCCCTATTGCGAATGTCGACTGCCAGTGGATAATCGAATATTAGTGCTCGGAAATTAGACATCTTTATTTTAAATTAAAGTTTAATTCTTTCACTACACGTGTATGTTAAAGTTTTTAAAATCGGCTCAAGCGTTTGGACACAATTACCCAACATCATTGTACAAATAACTAAACCGTACCGTATTTCTTCAACTAGTTGCGTTCCAAATACTTCACGATTTGCAGGTGTTTACAGAAAGTTATTCCAGATGGCCACCTTCCATAAAGTTTATTATTGCCAAAAACAGCTTTTCCTGCAGGTCCTGTAAAACCAACAAACCTTGAAGCATCTGCAACACAACTATTATTCATAAAATTCACATATGTACATACACTTGCATCTTCCAACTCCAAGGGTTTCGACGAATCTCGCAATTTCCTCCTTGCTTTAGCCAATTCTACTAATCTATTAACTTCCGCATCATCTTCCTCATCACTAAACCATATATTAAATGTATCCATTTTTTTAATTTTAAAATAAAAGCAATTATTTTAAAAATGATGTAAGTGAAACACTAAAGAAACAAATGTAAAAAAAAACAGCTGTTTACAATTCAGTCAACCATTCACAATGGTACAAATTTTATCGATCAAGTTACACATGTAGCGTATTTAAAAATTTTATTTTTATATAAACTTAATTTTAACTTAACGTATTTTTTATTTCAAAAAAGAAAAAATTCTGAAGTAATCAAAAATTTTCTTTTTGATTTACATAAATTGAAAAAGAACTTAATTCAATAATTTCAAAAATAACAAAGTACAAAAATGAACAAAGTACAATAGTAAATAGTATTAACACTACAATACTGTAGTATTAACACTACACACAATAGCGAAATAAAAGATTATCGACTCGATCGACAAAGTTCTATTCTACTGCCAGTCGACACCCGCAATAGGGGGCTTAGAGACCAATCGAGCAAACTTAGAAAAACGGTGAATAAACCCAAAATACTCGGAGTAACCTTCGACAGTCAGACGGACGAAGCCCAGAGGTTCAACCTCTGGACCCGTCAGCATATCGACAGGCTCTGAACGGCATTCACAGGGACTCAGTCTCGAGTTATGTAGACGCCAGACCTATGAATGCCGTTCTAGGCGCACAACCACCGGACATAGACGAGACGGAGCTTCATCTGCCTCGCGAGACAAGAACCACAATAGCCCAACTTCGCTCTGGCTACTGCAGCAGGTTAAACTCATATCTGAGCAGACTAAACGCGGATGTGCCGAATGAGTGTAAGGCGTACGGAGAGACACCTCATGACTCGCCATGAAATGTGAAATAGTGGCAATACTAGCGATTTTAGGTTATAAAAATTTTGGCAAGCACAAAGTTTGTTTACTGTTGTAAAATATATGAAATAGTAGTGAATAAATGATATTGTTTTAATAAAACAATAACGGGAGACGTTTTGGTAGTGGTAAAAAAGTGAGAAGAGGTGATTTAGTGAATTTGTGTCGGCCCATACAAAAAAACAAAATTTAACAAAAGTTTTTTTGTTAATAACTTTTAAAAGGTTAATATTAACCTTCCGCCCCCGGATTGTTAATACGGGACCAAAACGCGTCGATTGATACCCCTCTCGACATTTCCGGACCTTTTTCCGAAGTTGTTACCCTAAACTAGAGAATTACCATAATGACAAATATTTCTTTCGGATTTTTGTTGGGACTGTATACTAAGCTTAGAGCGAACGAGAGTCAACATTTCTCATGGTCCGATTATGCACACTTCACATAACTTCGCATAAACTTCAGACTGCAATTTCGTATGTACTTCGCACGTATTTTGTTTATATTCCATTACCCAGAAATTAGCAGAACATTCAAAAACTTAGAAATCTGTTGAGTTTAGATTTTGCTTCACGTTTTCTTAAGTTGCATTTTTATTGCACTGGTACAAAAGGTTGTGCGAAGTTATGCGAAGTATGCATAATCAGACCTTCAGTTGAGAATATTTAAATTATTATCTCAAAAGTACCATCTAGATCACCTGAAGGGCATGTTTAGCACCGAAAACGAAGTCTCTGATCGTAAAATCTTTTTCGAAGTATGGGCGAATTATGAATTGGATTAAGAACCAATTTTTCAAAGTATTGATTGTAGACGGCCACAATATTTCCGGGAAGTCCATTAACCGTGGTAAACTCCGAGACCCGTCGACATGACATGACATATATGCATTGGAAAAGCAGTGAGGACTTGCCATCAACAGATTGTTATTGCATAATTCCTGAAAACATGCAATACATATAAATTGAATATTTTATTTTAAAGCTGTAAGTTACCTTAAACTTATTAACTAAAATTGGACGAAAGGGTATTAAACGCAACATAATCCTTGTAATAAGCTATTTGATAGTGATGGAAAATTATCGATGGGGCTATCGATAGTATCGATGGTTTAATTTGGCGGCACTATCGAATTTTCTAAACACTATCGATAGTTGTATGTTTAGTCACATTAGGTTATTTCCCATACAAAACGCGGGATCCCGCGGGTGCCTAATACCATGTCCCCAACGGAGCTAACCACGTAGTTATGGCTGTTGAGTTGGTTATCCCGATAACCCACTTCATTTAGCGTAGTTTCGCCATATAAAAATAACAGCACTTAACCATTTCACTGAGATGGTTAAAAGCTAACCAACTCGAAACCACGTCGAAAGTCTGATACAATCCTGTGTTTTTCCGCCATCTGTCGGTCATTAGCTTTAAAATGAAAAAAATTCGTTCCTTACTAGTGTTTGGACTTAACTAAGACCAGAATAGATTTACTCCGGTTTTTGACAAAATTTTAAATCTACTCCTCTACTCATATTGACTTCAAATCTATTCCGTTTTTTTTCATTCTTGTTACGCCCCTCTTGGGGCCGTTTTTTGAGTGTTCACCACCGGTTTCAGTAAAAAAATTTAAAGTTAGCCAAATCTCACTGTTAAAAATTAACTCTTTCATAGCAATGCGTCAGTAAAGTAACTTCGTTATTTTTTGATGTATGGCTGTAGAGATTGGCGGATGCAGAACTATACTTAAGTTGTTAAAAAATATATGTCGAATAAAATTTATATAACGTAGGAAAAGTTTAAATCCTATTGCTCTTTAAAAAATTAAGTGTTAGAAACGTTCTGCTTTATAGAAAATGCTAAATATTACCTAAATATGTAACATATTATCCTTAAATTACCTCGCGTTCTTATTTTTGCATGAATAGAAAATATTTAAGTCAAACAATTAATGTCAAAAACGAAAATAAAAAATTCCATCTAACACGGAAAATTAGTTTTTGCTCAGATTTTTAGTCCTGCATCGAGTTTTGGAGCTCCGAACACTGTTCTCTACATTTGTACTGCTTTATAAACCTCAAACCGCAGTGTGGACAGCAATAGTTAGTGATGTGGTTAAGTTCGATTTGAGATGGTTAACTTTTTGGTGGGGACATGTTATAAGGTTGGTGTTATGCAGAAATTTTGTTTGGCAAACTGCATGCAATTGTTGTTGCAGCAAACTCGGAAAGAGCGAGTTTGGCGACTCTCACAGCAAACTAATTTTGTTTGGTCAAACTGCAGCAAATTCGGTGTTGTCATATACAAATATTTTAAATTGTGCGCGTTATGTACATCTGAAATTCTCATTTCATGTTGGCAATAGCCATGAAAACCATAATGAACGTGCAACCCTGTGCCCAACTCGACATAACCACCTCCGAGCAAACTAAGCAGCCGCCATTTAATTTGGCAAACAAAAGTTTGTCTGCATAACACCGACCTAAAATAGCCCAGAAATCATTCCCGTACTCAACATAATGGGTAATAGAAAATTTGAACGTATTGGATCGTAAGTGTCTTCTTCTTCCTGCCTAAAACAGCCCGGACTTTTTCTCCGGGTAAAAATGGATAAAGTGTCAAAGTGCATATCAGCTGTTTTATGTTTACATGTTGCCTATTTCTAGTAATGTGCTGAGTCAATACTTTCAAGTATTGACCGATAGTCGGTACCGATTTAAAAAGTATCCAGTACTCTCGATACTCGGTATCGAAACATTTCGATTTCGAATAAAAGCGCAAATAGGCAAAAAATATTCAGGGGAGACTCGCTTATAAAAACCAGAATATAGGAGCCAATAGAGCTTTTAATACGGGTTCAAATAAAAGATGTACACATGTCGGTTCGAGGCCATAATGCAGAGACACTCTTACTTGTTTGAAGCATTTGTGTTCCACCTGAATCGGACGATATCATTTTTGTAGGCCTGGGGGCAGATTCTGTAACCAGTTAGCGACAATTTTCGAATCGGCATCGGTTTTGTTGACGTATGATATGAAATATATTTACGTCAACAAGTGCGATATCGATCCGAAACTTGTCGCTAACTGGTTACAGAATCTCGCCCCTGAAAGGCTTCTTCGTCCGTAAAAGCATTTTTCTTGAACCTTAGATCAACTTAAGCAGTGTTTGCATTATTCAACTTTGCGTTCAACAATTGCGTTCAACTCAACGCAGGGTTGCACGAAAAAAAAGTTGAATGGCTAAATGTTGGCTGGCGACCAACTTTGTTGAAAGCGATTAGTTGAAAGGCCATTCAACCAAAAGTTGAATGCAAAGTTGAACAATGCAAACACCTTTTTATGGCGAATATTTTGATATTTTTTCATATTTTGATATTTTTAGCCATTCAACTTTTTTTCGTGCAACCCTGCGCTGAGTTGAACGCAAATGTTGAACGCNAAAACTGTTAAAATGATATTTCTCTGTTGCGATAAGTTCAAGTGTTTTAGCAGATATCATATAAATTTGTAAATTAAATTTTTTTCTTAACTTAAAATGCATATATCGGTATCGGGTACCGAAAAAGAAGTATTGGGTGCCGAAAACATTTTTAAGTACTGGGTACAGAAAATTCAGCACATCACTAGCTGTCTCATAAATTCTGGGCACGAAATGTGGTTTTTTCCGTTCCCGTTCTGGATTATTTTCCATTTTTGAGAGCAAACTTTTCGCATATTCTCTAATTACCGGATCCGGTCCGGATTGTTAGGAAAAGAACCTATTGTTGAAATTGGACGTAATTGGTCACGCTTAAGCTGATGCCAGATAAAACTTTGTAGCTTTGCGTGACATTTATAACTTTGCCAGCAAAGCGCCAGACGCAAAAGGTATGCAACAATGAACGCCAAGAAAACAATTTTGTACCGCTTTTTTTACTCGTCAACGTTGCTGTGGGTTTTATATATTTTACTTTGAAATTATTAATAATGTAATTAAGTTTTATGTTTCTGAATGACAACTCGAATTTGGACGAAACAAAATAAATATTAAACCGGCCAATTCTCAAAGCGCGCAAAAATATGTGAGTTAGCCATCTTCTCGCTTCGCGCTGCAGCTTCAACGATCTATGTGGCATGCTTTGTGCATTTTCATACAATTCATCTTATCTGTCAAAGCGAATCTGTCACGTAAAGCGAAGCAAAAGTTTTATGTGGCATCAGCTTTATTGCTTGACATCTATTGCAGGCAATACGATAGTTTGACAGCCATATTTTTATATGAAAAAAGCGTGCTGGTGGTAACATCGATGAAATTTGGATATTAAATTAAAATAAAAATATGTTCCCTATTGGATTATTTATGATTACGTTTTAGGAAATTATTCAGCAGGTTTTTAAAGATTTAAATGTTTTTAAACACCGAAATTGAGAGAATGTTGTCTGGTGGCGTCATGCGGCAAATGCATATTAGGGCCTGTGCCAATTGATAGAAAAGTTCTATGGTGGAAAAACTTTTTACTATGGTGAGAAAATTTTACATTTCTGCTGTGCCAATTCGTAACTTTTTACTGCTGGAAATTTTTGACAGTTGCTTTGATGCACAAGAAGACTATCGAGTTTGCTATTTATAAAATGCAGCAATTATATAGAAAATATTTTCCTTTGATGATTTCAATTCTTCTGGAACTGAAATCCATGCATTTATTAGACCTTTTAGCAGTAATATTA